GTGGAAGCCATTCAAGTATTTTAAAGAGAGGAAACAATTGCATATACATTTTTTAAAAAGTCACTTTGCAACAGAATGAAGAGATAGACAAAGCCAAACCAAACCAAGCCAACAACGGGGATTTTTCACTCTCTTCTTTATAACTTTTGATTTTTACATAATTTCAAAACAGTAATATGTGTCACCTGTGAAAAAAACAATAAAGCCATTTTCATTATTCATATTTTAAAAACCTACCTTGGCAAAGGACCTGAACAGATACTTCACCAAAGAACATAGATTGAAAAACAAGCATTGGAAAAGATGCTCGTATCATATGGCGTCAGGGAAATGCAAATTAAACAGTGAGATACCATTGTATGCCTGTTGGAATGGCTGAAACCCAGAACACTGATGTGATCAAATGCTGGCAAGGATGTAGGACAACAGGGACTCTAGTTCACTGCTGGTGGGAATGCAAAGTGGTGCAGCCACTTTCAAAGACAATCTAGTGGTTTCTTACACAACTAAGCATCCTCTTAACATATGACCCAGAAATCATGCTTCTTGGTATTTACTCAAATGAGTTGAAAACTTACGTTCAATACAAAGACATGCATATAGATGTTTATCACAGCTTTATTCATAATTGTCAACACTTGGAAGCAACCAAGATGCCCTTCAGTAGGTAAATGGATAAATTGTGGTATATGAAGAAAATGAAATATTATTGAGCTCTAAAAAGAAATGGGCTATTAAACCATGAAAAAATATGGAGGAAACTTAAATGCATATTTCTAAGTAAAAAAAGCTAATCTGAAAGGCTACACACAGTATGACTCCAATGATAAGATATTCTGGAAAAGGTAAATGTTGTTGTTATTTAGTTGCTAACTTGTGTCTGACTCTTTGGGACTCCATGAACAGTAGCATACCAGACTTCCCTGTCCTTCACTATCTCCCAGAATTTGCTCAAACTCATGTCCATCGAGTTGATGATGACATCCTCGTCATCCCCTTCTCCTTCTGCCTTCAGTCTTTCCCAACATCAGGGTCTTCTCTAATGAGTCAGCTCTTCCCATCAGGTGGCCAAAATATTGGAGCTTCAGCTTCAGTATCAGTCCTTCCAATGAATATTCAGGGTTGATTTCATTTCAGATTGACTGGTTTGATCTCCTTGCAGTCCAAGGGACTCAAGCATCTTTCTCCAGCACCACAGTTCAAAAGCATCAATTCTTCAGTGCTCAGCTTTCTTTATGGTCCAACTCTCACATCTATACATGACTACTGGAAAAACCATAGCCTTGATTAGACAGGCCTTTGGCAAAATAATGTCTTTGCTTTTGAATATGCTGTCTAGGTTTGTCATAGCTTTTCTTCCAAGGAGCGAGTGTCTTTTAATTTCATGGCTGCAGTCACCACCTGCAGTGATTTTGGAGCCGAAGAAAATAAAGTCTGTCACTATTTCCATTTTTGCCCCATCTATTTACCATGAAATGATGGGACTGGATACCATGATCTTAGGTTTTTGAATGTTGAGCTTTAAGCCAACTTTTTCACTTCCTCTTCCACCTTCATCAAAAGGCTCTTTAGCTCCTCTTTGTTTTCTGCCATTAAAGTGGTGGTTGTTGTTCAGTTGCTCACTCGTGTCCGACTCTTTGCAAACCCATGGACTACAGCACGCCAGGTTTCCCGGTCCTTTACCATCTTCTGCAGCTTGCTCAAACTCATGTCCATCGAGTCGGTGATGCCATCCAACCGTCTCATCCTCTGTCGTCCCCTTCTCCTCCTGCCTTCAATCTTTCCCAGCATCAGGGTATTTTCCAATGAGTCAACTCTTCACATCAGGTGGCCAAAGTATTGGAGCTTCAGCTTAAGTATCAGTCCTTCTAATGAATATTCAGTATTGATTTCCTTTAGGATTGATTAGTTTGATCTCCTTGCTGTCCAAGGGACTTCAAGAGTCTTCTCCAGCACCACAGTTCCAAAGCATCAATTCTTTGGCACTCAGCTTTCTTTATGGTCCACCTCTCACATCCATATACAACTACTGGAAAAATCATAGCTTTGACCATATGGCCTTTTGTTGGCAAAGTAATTCTCTGCTTTTGAATATTCTGTCTAGGTTGGTCATAGCATTTCTTCCAGGGAGCAAGCGTCTTTTAATTTCATGGCTGAAGTCACCATCTGCAGTGATTTTGAAGCCCAAGAGAAAAAAGTTTGTCACTGTTTCCATTGTTTCCCCATCTATTTGCCGTGAAGTGACGGGACCCAATCCCATGATCTTCGTTTTCTGAATGTTGAGTTTTAAGCCAACGTTTCAGTCTCCTCTTTCACTTTCATCAAGAGCCTCTTTAGTTCCTCTTCACTTTCTGCCATAAGGGTGGTGTCATCTGCATATCTGATGCTATTGATATTTCTCCCGGCAATCTTGATTCCAGCTTGTGTTTATCCAGCTCAGCATCTTGCTTGATGTACTCTGCATAGAAGTTAAATAAGCAGGATGACAATATATGGCCTTGACTTACTCCTTTCCCAGTTTTGAACCAGTCAGTTGTTTCATGTCTGGTTCTAACTGTTCTTCTTGACCTGCACACAGATTTCTCAGGAGGCAGGTAAGGTAGCCTGGTATTCCCATCGCTTTAAGAATTTTACACAGTTTGTTATTTATGATCCACACAATCAAAGAGTTTAGTGTAGTTAAAGAAGCAGTAGTTGTTTTTCTACTTCTAAGGTAAACCTGTGAGACAGTAGAAAGATCGATTGTTGCCAGGGGTTAGAGGGGAGGGAGGGATGAACAGGCAGAACATGAAAGAATTATAGGGCAATGAAAGTATTCTGTATGATAGTCTAATGGTGGATATGTGTCATTATGCATGTGTCTAAACCCACAGAATGTACAACACCAAGAGTGACCCTAGCATAAACTCTGGGTGATGACACGGTGTCGATGTAGGTTCATCTCTTGTAACAGATGCACCTCTCTGTGGCAGGATTTTGATAATAGGGAAGGTTGTGCATCTGTGGGGTATATGGGAAATCACTATATTTTTTGCTTCATTTTGCTGTGAAACCAAAACTTCTCTGAAAAAGTGTCTATTAAAAAGAAAAGAGAAAGAAAAAACAAAGAAGCGAAAAGCAGAGTCCCCGCCGCCTCCCCAGGCCCTCCCCCTGGAGTTGAGCAGAGAGGAAGGAGGTGAGGCAGGAGGCAGGGAGAGCTCCCCAGATGCCGGGGCGGGGACCGTGCAGGAGGGCAGGGGCCTGCGGCTGCGCAGAGGCGATGGGGGCGGGATCCGGGAGCACCCCCTAGACCTGGGGCTTGACTGGCTGGTGGGTAGGGCAGAGGAGGAGATCCAGGAACACGCCAAAGCTCTGCCTCACCAGCCACATGGGGTGATGCTGGTCACAGAGACAGGCAGCATCAAACAACCAGCCAACACGCAGAGCCAGTCACATTTCATGGAGATGAAACCGCACCACATGTGGTCTTTTGTGACTGGCTTTTTAAACTTAGCAGAGTATTTTTGAGGTTCATCCAGGTTGCAGCATGCGTCATTCCTTTTAATGGCCATATAGTATTTCCATTGTATGTGGATACGTTATATTTTATTTATCCATTCATCGGTTGATGGACATTTGGGTTCTTTCTACTTTTTGACTGTGATTAATAACGCTGCTGGGACAATCTGTGGACACACTTCTGTGTGAACATATCCTTTCATTTTTCCCATTGCTTGCTTGTATACTAACTCTGTGTTCAGCATTTTAAGAAGTTACCAGGCTGTTTTCACAAAATGCCCCTAGGTCCCCCAGCAACATTTATTTTTTTTGGCTTTAAAACTTATTTTGTTTGATAATAGTATATCAGCTCCAACTTTCTTATAGTTATTTTTTACCTTTTGAAAAAAGATGATTTTATCACAAATGTATGCTGCCATAACTAGTATATTATTAAGTTATGCATGTTCTCAGCTTGATTAAAATGATGTCACACTATAAACATTGTCTTCTTGGAGTTGCTCTTTTCACTCATGCTATTTCTAAGACTCATCTGTGTTTTTGTATATTATTATAATTACATTTTCACTGCTGTGTAATATTCTACTTTGTGACCCTACCATAATTTATTTATCCATCCTCCTATCAATGGATATTTGAAATGTTCCCACATTTCCAGTATTTTGTTACTACAAATTTATTGCTACTGTAAACATTCTTATCTTCTCTTGTTCTCAAAGTGACCAGTGACAGTCACAGCTGGATACTTGTTAGAAATGCTTCCCCGGTGGCTCAGATGGTAAAGCGTCTGCCAGCCGTGTGGGAGACCCGGGTTTGATCCCTGGGTTGGGAAGATCCCCTGGAGAAGGAAATGGCAACCCACTCCAGTACTCTTGCCTGGAAAATTCCATGGACTGAGGAGCCTGGTGGGCTACAGTCCATGGGATCGCAACGAGTAAGACATGACTGAGCGACTTCACTTTCATCCCAGACTCACTGAATCAGAAACTCTGCGGATGGGGCCCAGAAATCTGTAGGTTTTTAGAATTTTATTTTTATTTATTTATTTTGGCTTTAGTAGCAGTATGTGGGATATGTTTCAGTGGTAGCACATGCGATTTAGTTCCCTGACCAGGGATGGAGACCCCTGCACTGGGAGCGTGGAGTCATAGCCACTGGACCACTAGAGAGGTCCCAATCTGTAGGTTTTAACATGCCCTCTAGGGGGCTTCTGATGCCTGATGAAATTTGAGAATCGTTGCTCTAGGGTATAAAAAAGAGTGGCATTTCAGGATTCTAGGCAACAGGTTGTTTTCCAAAGTGGTTGTTCCATGTAACTCTCCATCATCAGTGTCTATGAGCCCCCAAGGACAGAACTCCTTTCAGCACTTACGGTTGCTGGTGCTTTCTCTTCCCTGGCTGTGCTGCCGTTATCTCCGAAGCATAGTTGTACCCCGCGCAGGGGCGGCTCGGCCGTCACCGTGGATAAAAGCTTCTCTCTGAAATGTGTGTTTGTTTTACAGGAGTACATGCACCATCTGCTCTTCCTGGAACACCGTGCCGAGGAGCAGTTCCTGGAGCACTGGCTGAACCCACACTGCAAACCCCACTGCGACAGGAACCTGGTCCATCCCATCTAAGAGGCTCGGGTCCAGCCTATGGTATGCTCCCTCTCCCAGGCCTTCTGTTTCAGGGAGACAGCAGTGAGCAATGCAGGCAGGACTCTGGGGGCCTTTGAGAACATGACCCTGCAGGAACCAGCAGGTCAGCTAGTTATGGGTTGGAGAGTGGGAGGGGCGAGGCGTGGGAGGTAGGTGGGGACCAGGTGGAGAGGTTCACTGGGGACAGGCAGGGGGCCTGACTCCTGCTGAGCCACCTGGAGACCCCAAACAGGGGCGGGGTGAGACCCCAAACAGGGGAGGGGTGAGACCCCATAAAGAGGAGGGGTGACACCCCAAACAGGGGAGGGGTGAGGTCCCAAACAGGGGAGGGGTGAGGTCCCAAACAAGGGCGGGGTGAGACCCCAAACAGGGGCGGGGTGAGGTCCCGAACAGGGGCGGGGTGAGGTCCCAAACAGGGGAGCGGTGAGGTCCCGAACAGGGGAGCGGTGAGACCCCGAACAGGGGAGGGGTGAGACCCCGAAAAGGGGCGGGGTGAGACCCGGAACAGGGGCGGGGTGAGGTCCCGTAACAGGGGAGGGGTGAGACCCCGAATAGGGGCGGGGTGAGGTCCCGAACAGGGGTGGGGCGAGGTCCCGAACAGGGGAGGGGTGAGGTCCCGGAACAGGGGAGGGGTGAGGTCCCGAACAGGGGAGGGGTGAGACCCCGAACAGGGGCGGGGTGAGGTCCCGAACAGGGGAGGGGTGAGACCCCGAACAGGGGCGGGGTGAGGTCCCGAACAGGGGTGGGGCGAGGTCCCGAACAGGGGAGGGGTGAGGTCCCAAACAGGGGAGGGGTGAGGTCCCAAACAGGGGAGCGGTGAGGTCCCAAACAGGGGAGCGGTGAGATCACAAACAGGGGAGCGGTGAGACCCCAAACAGGGGAGGGGTGAGACCCCAAACAGGGAAGGGGTGAGGTCCCAAACAGGGGAGGGGTGAGACCCCAAACAGGGGAGGGGTGAGGTCCCAAACAGGGGAGGGGTGAGGTCCGAAACAGGGGAGGGGTGAGACCCCAAACAGGGGAGCGGTGAGATCCCAAACAGGGGAGGTGTGCGACCCCAAACAGGGGAAGGGTGAGGTCCCAAAGAGGGGAGTGGTGAGACCCCAAACAGGGGCGGGGTGAGATCCCAAACAGGGGAGGGGTGAGGTCCCAAACAGGGGAGGGGTGAGGTCCCAAACAGGGGAGGGGTGAGGTCCCAAACAGGAGAGGGGTGAGGTACCAAACAGGGGAGGGGTGAGGTCCCAAACAGGGGCGGGGTGAGGTCTCAAACAGGGGAGCGGTGAGATCCCAAACAGGGGAGGGGTGAGGTCCCAAAGAGGGGAGGGGTGAGGTCCCAAACAGGGGAGGGGTGAGATCCCAAACAGGGGAGGGGTGAGATCCCAAACAGGGGAGGGATGAGGTCCCAAACAGGGGCGGGGTGAGACCCCAAACAGGGGAGGGGTGAGATCCCAAACAGGGGAGGGGTGCGATCCCAAACAGGGGAGGGGTGAGGTCCCAAAGAGGGGAGGGATGAGGTCCCAAACAGGGGCGGGGTGAGGTCCCAAACAGGGGAGGGGTGAGACCCCAAACAGGGGAGGGCTGAGGTCCCAAACAGGGGAGGGGTGAGGTCCCAAACAGGGGAGGGGTGAGACCCCAAAGAGGGGAGGGGTGACATCCCAAACAGGGCAGGGGTGAGACACAAAACAGGGGAGGGGTGAGATCTCAGAGGAGCGGTGAGACCCCAAATAGGGGAGGGGTGAGATCCCAAACAGGGGAGGGGTGAGATCCCAAACAGGGGTGGGGTGAGACCCCAAACAGGGGAGGGGTGAGACCCCAAAAAGGGGAGGGGTGAGGTTCCAAACAGGGGAGGGGTGAGGTCCCAAATAGGGGAGGGGTGAGGTCCCAAACAGGGGAAGGGTGAGACCCCAAGCAGGGGAGGGGTGAGGTCCCAAATAGGGGTAGGGTGAGACCCCAAACAGGGGAGCGGTGAGATCCCAAACAGGGGAGGGGTGCGACCCCAAACAGGGGAAGGGTGAGGTCCCAAACAGGGGAGCGGTGAGGCCCCAAACAGGGGCGGGGTGAGATCCCAAAAAGGGGATGGGTGAGACACGAAAGAGGGGAGGGGTGAGGTCCCAAAAAGGGGAGGGGTGAGGTCCCAAACAGGGGAGGGGTGAGACCCCAAACAGGGGAGGGGTGAGATCCCAAACAGGGGAGGGATGAGATCCCAAACAGGGGTGGGGTGAGGTCCCAAACAGGGGAGGGGTGAGATCCCAAACAGGTCTGGGGTGAGACCCCAAACAGGGGAGGGGTGAGACCCCAAACAGGGGAGTGGAGAGATACGAAAGAGGGGAGGGGTGAGGTCCGAAACAGGGGAGGGGTGAGGTCCCAAACAGGGGAGGGGTGAGATCCGAAACAGGGGAAGGGTGAGACCCCAAACAGGGGAGCGGTGAGATCCCAAACAGGGGAGGGGTGCGACGCCAAAGAGGGGAAGGGTGAGGTCCCAAACAGGGGAGCAGTGAGACCCCAAACAGGGGCGGGGTGAGATACCAAACAGGGGTGGGGTGAGACCCCAAACAGGGGAGGGGTGAGACCCCAAACAGGGAAGGGGTGAGACCCCAAACAGGGGAGGGGTGAGATCCGAAACAGGGGAGGGGTGAGGTCCCAAGTAGGGGAGGGGTGAGGTCCCAAAGAGGGGAGGGGTGAGCTCCAAAAGAGGGGAGGGGTGAGATCACAGAGGAGGGGTGAAACCCCAAACAGGGGCAGGGTGAGACCCCAAACAGGGGAGGGGTGAGATCCCACACAGGGGAGGGGTGAGGTCACAAACAGGGGAGGGGTGAGATCCCAAAGAGGGGAGGGATGAGGTCCCAAACAGGGGAGGGATGAGACCCAAAGAGGGGAGCAGTGGGATCCCAAACAGGGGAGGGGTGAGGTCCCAAACAGGGGAGGGGTGAGGTCCCAAGCAGGGGAGGGGTGAGGTCCCAAGCAGGGGAGGGGTGAGATCCCAAACAGGGGAGCAGTGGGATCCCAAACAGGGGAGGGGTGCGACCCCAAACAGGGGAAGGGTGAGACCCCAAAAAGGGGAAGGGTGGGATCCCAAACAGGGGAGGGGTGAGGTCCGAAACAGGGGAGCGTTGAGACCCCAAACAGGGGAGGGGTGAGATCCCAAACAGGGGAAGGGTGGGATCCCAAACAGGCGAGGGGTGAGACCCCAAAAAGGGGAGGGTTGAGATCCCAGGGGAGGGGTGAGATCCCAAACAGGGGAGGGGTGAGACCCCAAACAGGGGAGGGTTGAGATCCCAGGGGAGGGGTGAGATTCCAAACAGGGGAGGGGTGAGACCCCAAACAGGGGAGGGGTGAGACCCCAATCAGGGGAGGGGTGAGATCCGAAACAGGGGAGGGGTGAGGTCCCAAACAGGGGAGGGGTGAGGTCCGAAACAGGGGAGGGGTGAGACCCCAAACAGGGGAGGGTTGAGATCCCAGGGGAGGGGTGAGACCCCAAACAGGGGAGGGGTGAGACCCTAACAGGGGAGGGGTGAGATCCCAAACAGGGGAGGGGTGAGACCCCAAACAGGGAAGAGGTGAGATCCCAGAGGAGGGTTGAGACCCCAAACAGCGGAGGGGTGAGATGAGAAACAGGCGAGGGCTGAGACCTCAAACAGGGGAGGGATGAGATCGCAAACAGGGGACGGGTGAGGTCCCAAATAGGGGAGGGGAGAGGTCCCAAACAGGGGAGGGGTGAGCTCCCAAACAGGGGAGGGGTGAGATCCCAGAGGAGGGGTGAGACCCTAAACAGGGGAGGGGTGAGATCCCAAACAGGGGAGGGGTGAGATCCCAAACAGGGGAGGGGTGAGATCCCAGAGGAGGGTTGAGACCCCAAACAGGGGCGGCGTGAGATCCCAAACAGGGGAGGGGGGAGACCCCAAACAGGGGAGGGGTGAGGTCCCAAACATGTGAGGGGTGAGGTCCCAAACAGGGGAGGTGTGAGACCCCAAACAGGGGAGGGTTGAGATCCCAAAGAGGGGAGGGGTGAGATCCCAAACGGGGGTGGGGTGAGATCCCAAACAGGGGAGGGGTGAGACCCCAAACAGGGGAGCAGTGAGATCCCAAACAGGGGAGGGGTGAGACCCCAAACAGGGGAGAAGTGAGATCCCAAACAGGGGAGGGGTGAGACCCCAAACAGGGGAGGGGTGAGATCTGAAACAGGGGAGGGGTGAGGTCCCAAACAGGGGAGGGGTGAGGTCCCAAATACGGGAGGGGTGAGGTCCCAAACAGGGGAGGGGTGAGGTCCCAAACAGGTGAGGGGTGAGACCCCAAAGAGGGGAGGGTTGAGATCCGAAAAAGGGGTGGGGTGAGATCCCAAACAGGGCAGGGGTGAGACCCCAAACAGGGGAGGGGTGAGATCCCAGAGGAGCGGTGAGACCCCAAACAGGGGAGGGGTGAGATCCCAAAGAGGGGAGGGGTGAGACCCCAAACTGGGGAGGGGTGTGGTCCCAAACAGGGGGGGCTTGAGACCCCAAATAGGGAAGGGGTGAGGTCCCAAACAGGGGAGGGGTGAGGTCCCAAAAAGGGGAGCGGTGAGACCCTAAAGAGGGGAGGGGTGAGATCCCAAACAGGGGAGGGGTGAGATCCCAGAGGAGCGGTGAGACCCCAAACAGGGGGGGCTTGAGACCCCAAATAGGGAAGGGGTGAGGTCCCAAACAGGGGAGGGGTGAGGTCCCAAAAAGGGGAGCGGTGAGACCCCAAAGAGGGGAGGGGTGAGATCCCAAACAGGGGAGGGGTGAGACCCCAAACAGGGGAGGGGTGAAGTCCCAAACAGGGGAGGGGTGAGGTCCCAAACAGGGGAGGGGTGAGCTCCCAAACAGGGGAGGGGTGTGATCCCAGAGGAGGGGTGAGACCCCAAACAGGGGAGGGGTGAGATCCCAAACAGGGGATGGGTGAGATCCCAAACAGGGGTGGGGTGAGACCCCAAACAGGGGAGGGGTGAGACCCCAAACAGGGGAGGG